GGGAGTTTCCTCTTCCACCCCTCCTTTTTCCCCTTCGGGGAAGAGTTTATCACTGTTCCCTATTAATAAACACCCCCTCCCCCAGGCGACTGGGGGCCAACCCGAGTCCATGCCGACCCCCCCCACCATCCCTTGTAAAAAACAATACCAAACACAATGTGTCTCCAAATTCGGAACATGCGCAGCCAACCCGATGCGCCCCCCCCCCCCCCGCGCACACACACAATCCCTGTCAAAAAACAATACAGAGTACACTTGGCGGCGGCGGCGGCGGCTGCGGCGGCTGCGGCGGCGGCGGCGGCGGCGGCGGCGGCAGCGGCAGCGGCTGCGGCGGCGGCGGCGGTTTGGCAGCGGGGGGCGGCGGCGGCGGCGGCGGCGGCGGCGGCGGCGGCACAGGCTCGGCGGCACGGCGGCGGGAGGGGCAGGCCGGCGGCGCGGCGGGGGCGGCGGCGGCGGGCAGCGGCGGCGGCGGCGGCGGCGGCGGCGGCGGCGGCGGGCGGCGGCGGCGGCGGCGGCGGATTGGCCCCCAGTAGCTGCCCATCCAAAGACGACTGCTGAATATGCTGAGGCTCGGGCCAGACTCGGGTGCTACGTATGTGTTGGGAGGGCGGGTGGGAGTGAGCGAGACGGCTTGCGGGCGGGGAAGGGGTAACTTGACCCCTCCCCCTACCCCCTCCCCTGGACATGGACAAGGGGTTCCGCGAGGTGTCGGAGCGTCCGAAACGGCCTCGGCGAGGAAGCCAACATCACTGGTTTTACTAAGGTTTTGGCCCCATGTGGGCCTCCTGAGGGGGGGACTGGAATTAGCCCTCCTGTGATCGATCTCACCCAAGATGGCCCAAAGATGGCCCCAAGGCTCCCAAGGGTGCCCCAAGTGGGCCCCAAGAGGTGGCCAGAAGCCCCAAGAGGCCCCCAGGATGTCCCCAAGAGGCTCCCAAGAGACCCCCAACAGGCCCCAAAAGACCCCCCAGAGGCACCCAAGATGCTCCAAGAGGCCTCGGCGAGAATGCCAAATCATTGATTGTACTAAGGTTTTAGCCACATGTTGGCCTCTTGGGGGAGCACTGATTAAGATGACTCCAAGAGCGCCTGGGAGAGCCCAAGATGACCTCCAAGATGGCTCAAGATATCCCAAGATGTCTCATCATGGCTCCTACGATGCTCCAAGATGCCCCAAGACCGCTCCAAGACGGCTCCCAGTGGCCAAAGAGCTCCCCCTGGGAGGCCCCGAAGAAGCCAAAACCTTAGGACATACTATGGGTTTGGTTTTCTCGCCTTTTCGCTTCCGGTGGCCATCCGAGGCCTCAAGATGGCTCCAAGATGGCCCAAGGGGGCTCCAAGAGAGGCTCCAGAGAGCGCCAAGACGGCCCCAAGAGCGCCTAAGAGCGCTCCAAGAGAACCCCAAGAGCGCCCCAAGAGGCGATTGTTTGGGCTCCCGAGGGGCAACGCTAACTAATGCTCGCTTCTTGTTTGATCGATGTCCCCCAAGATGGCCCCAAGAGCGCTCCCAAGGCTCCCAAGAGCGCTTCAAGAGGGCCCCAAGAGGCGCCCAGGAGGCCCCAACAGGCACCCAAGAGGCCTCCAAGATGCTTCCAAGAGAAGAGGCCCCAAGAAGCTCTCCGAGGCACCCAAGACACTCCAAGAGGCCTCCACTGGGGGACCCTTCCTCTGTGTGCTGCCCACTTCCCTGATCGAGGCAATTCCTCTGGGCATCGTTTCTGGATGGGCTGGTGGGGTTACGCGACGCGTCTAGAATTTTAAATTATGGGAAACGCAATTGTGACGCATGATGTGCGGCTCTTTGTAGAAAATAACGTTTCCCATAATCCAGAATTCGAATTCTCGGAATTCCGAATTATGGGAAACGCAATTTTTCTTCAAAAAGCAGCACCCAATGAGCCACACTTACGTTTGCCATAATTTCGAATTATGGGAAACGCAAGTGTGGTTCATTGAGTGCGGCTTATTGAAGAGCATTGCGTTTCCCATGATTCAGAATTCGACTTCTCGGAATTCCGACTTATGGGTCACGCAATTGCCTTCAAAAAACAGCACTCCATGAGCCACAATTGCGTCTCCCATATTTCTTAAGTATGGGATACGCACTTGTGACTCATTGAGAGCGTGTTTTGAAGAACATTGCGTTTCCCATTATTCAGAATTCGACTTATCGGAACCCCGAAGTATGGGAAACGCAATTTCCCTTGAAAAAACCGCACTCAATGGGTCAAAATTGCATTTCCCACAATTCCGAATTATGGGAAACACAATTGTGGCGCATTGAATGCATGTTTTCAGGAAAATTGCGTTTCCCAGAATTCAGAATTCGAATTCACGGAATTCCGAAGTATGGGGGGGCGCAATTTTCTTCCAAAAAAACACACTCAATGAGACACAGTTGCGTTTCCCATAATTTCGAATTTTATAGGAAACGCAATTGTGGCTCATTGAGTGCGGTTTGTTGAAGAAAATTGCGTTTCCCATAACTCGGAATTCCGAGAATTCGAACTCTGGGTTACAGGAAACGCGAATTTCGTGTTAGATATACACGTATATACAGAGAGAGAGGTAATACTCAATGAGTCACAATTGCGTTTCCCATGATTAATCATGGGAAACGCAATTGTGGCTCATCGAGTGCATTGTTCAAATAAGAAAAACAAGACAAACACACAAAAATGTGGTTTCCATAATTCTGAATTCCGAGAATTCGAATTCTGAATTATGGGAAACGCAATTTCCTTCCAACAAAACGCACCAAATGAGCCACACCCGCGTTTCCCATAATTATGGGTAACGCAATTGTGGCTCATTGAGCGTGGCTTTTTGCTGAAAATTGCGTTTCCCGTAATTCAGAATTCCGAGAATTTAAATTCTGAAATATGGGAAACCGATGTTCTTCAAAAAACGTATTCAATGAGCCACAATTGCGTCTCCCATAATTAAAAAACTGTGGCTCATTGAGTGCACTTGTTCAGGAAAAATGCGTTTCCCATCATTCAGAATTCCGAGAATTCGAATTCTCAATTATGGGAAACTTATGTTTCCCAAAAACCGCACCCAATGAGCCACAATTGCGTTTCCCATTGTTAAGAATTATGGGGAACGCAATTCTGGCCCATTGAGTGCGGTTTTTTGAAGAAAAATGCGTTTGCCATAAGTCGGAAGTCGAATTATGGAAAACGCGTTTCCCGCGCAACGTGTCCTTGGGGCAGCCATCCGGGGTTACGTTTTTTTAATTGTTGACTTATGGATACGCAGACCCGGACGGCAGCCGGGGGAGGGGGGGTGCGAGGGCCCGCGCCGATCAGCAAAACAACGAATAACAAAACTACCACCAGAGAGGTGATCCTGGAGGCCTCCTAGACCCAGACATGATCGCGTCGCAACAATTATCCCGGCAAAGCAACCTAACAGCGATGTGAAGGAGCATATCTGGAAGCATCCCCCTTAAGATTCAGATGAGAATCCAGTTGTAGAGTTCTGCTGTTCTCGCAGTCGTAGTCGCATTCGCGATGACAGTCGCAGTGGCCTGCATTAGCCTCAGCCTCAGCCTCAGCCTGCCTCAGCCTCAGCCTCAGCCTCAGCTTCAGCCTGCCTCAGCCTCAGCCTCAGCCTGCTCCTGCATCAGCCTCAGTCTGCCTGCAGCCTCGGCCTCAGCCTCAGCCTGCCTCAGCCTCAGCCTGCATCAGCCTCAGCCTCAGCCTCAGCCTGCCTCAGCATAAGCCGCTTCAGCCTCAGCCTCAGCCTGCCTCAGCCTCAGCCTCAGTCTGCTTCAGCCTCAGCCTCAGTCTGCCTTCAGCCTCGGCCTCAGCCTCAGCCTGCCTCAGCCTCAGCCTGCATCAGCCTCAGCCTCAGCCTCAGCCTGCCTCAGCCATCAGCCTGCCTCAGCCTCAGCCTCAGCCTCAGCCTTCTTCAGCCTCAGCCTCAGTCTGCCTTCAGCCTCGGCCTCAGCCTCAGCCTGCCTCAGCCTCAGCCTGCATCAGCCTCAGCCTCAGCCTCAGCCTGCCTCAGCATCAGCCTGCCTCAGCCTCAGCCTCAGCCTGCCTCAGCCTCAGCCTCAGCCTGCTCCAGCCTCAGCCTCAGTCTGCCTTCAGCCTCGGCCTCAGCCTCAGGCTGCCTCAGCCTCGGCCTGCATCAGCCTCAGCCTCAGCCTCAGCCTGCTTCAGCATCAGCCTGCCTCAGCCGCAGCCTCAGCCTGCCTCTGCCTCAGCCTCAGCCTCAATCTGCCTTCAGCCTCGGCTTCAGTCTCAGCCTGCCTCTGCCTCAGCCTGCATCAGCCTCAGCCTCAGCCTGCCTCAGCCTCAGCCACAGCCTCAGCCTCAGCCTCAGCCTGCCTCAGCCTCAGCCTCAGCCTCAGCCTGCTTCAGCCTCAGCCTCAGTCTGCCTTCAGCCTCGGCCTCAGCATCAGCCTGCCTCAGCCTCAGCCTGCCTCAGCCTCAGCCTCAGCCTCAGCCTGCCTCTGCATCAGCCTGCCTCAGCCTCAGCCTCAGCCTGCCTCAGCCTCAGCCTCAGCCTGCTTCAGCCTCAGCCTCAGTCTGCCTTCAGCCTCGGCCTCAGCCTCAGCCTGCCTCAGCCTCAGCCTGCATCAGCATCAGCCTCAGCCTCAGCCTCAGCCTGCCTCAGCATCAGCCTGCCTCAGCCTCAGCCTCAGCCTGCCTCAGCCTCAGCCTCAGCCTGCTTCAGCCTCAGCCTCAGTCTGCCTTCAGCCTCGGCCTCAGCCTCAGCCTGCCTCAGCCTGCCTCAGCCTCAGCATCAGCCTGCCTCAGCATTCAAAATGTGGCCAGGGAATGGAATTCTGGGAACTCGAAGAACACGAAGTGGCCTACAGTTTGCTCCGGGCATTCAAAATCATACCCAGGAATGGAGTTCTGGGAAGTCCAAGAGCTCGAAGTGGCCTACAGTTGGCTCCGGGCATCCAAAATGTGGCCCGGGAATGGAGTTCTGGGAACTCGAAGACCACGAAGTGGCCTACAGTTGGCTCCGGGCATCCAAAATGTGGCCCGGGAAAGGAGTTCTGGGAACTCGAAGACCACGAAGTGGCCTACAGTTGGCTCCGGGCATCCAAAATGTGGCCCGGGAATGGAGTTTTGGGAACTCGAAGACCACGAAGTGGCCTACAGTTGGCTCCGGGCATCCAAAATGTACGCCGGGAATGGAGTTCTAGCAGCGCCAAGAGCGATTTTGCGAGGATGTCCCAGGCGATTTGGGCTTCGGCGGCAGCCGCCCCGGGTCCCGCCCCGACCCCCTGAGGAGTCATGATGCTCTCTTTTGACACCACTAGAAACCTATCAGTCTTCGCTGTTAGGTAAAAATTATCCCGGCAAAGCAACCTAACAGCGATGTGTAGGAGCATATCTGGAAGCATTCCCCTGAAGATTCAGATGAGAATCCAGTTGTAGAATTCTGCTGTTCTCGCAGTCGTAGTCGCATTCGCGATGACAGTCGCAGTGGCAACGGCAGTCGCAGTCACAGCCTCAGCCTCCGCCTGCCTCAGCCTCAGCCTCAGCCTGCCTCAGCCTCAGCCTCAGCCTGCTTCAGCCTCAGCCTCAGTCTGCCTTCAGCCTCGGCCTCAGCCTCAGCCTGCCTCAGCCTCAGCCTGCATCAGCCTCAGCCGCAGCCTCAGCCTGCCTCAGCATCAGCCTGCCTCAGCCTCAGCCTCAGCCTGCCTCAGCCTCAGCCTCAGCCTGCTTCAGCCTCAGCCTCAGTCTGCCTTCAGCCTCGGCCTCAGCCTCAGCCTGCCTCAGCCTCAGCCTGCCTCAGCCTCAGCATCAGCCTGCCTCAGCATTCAAAATGTGGCCCGGGAATGGAGTTCTGGGAACTCGAAGAACACGAAGTGGCCTACAGTTGGCTCCGGGCATTCAAAATGTGGCCCGGGAATGGAGTTCTGGGAACTCGAAGACCACGAAGTGGCCTACAGTTGGCTCCGGGCATTCAAAATGTGGCCCGGGAATGGAGTTCTGGGAAGTCGAAGAGCACGAAGTGGCCTACAGTTGGCTCCGGGCATTCAGAATGTGGCCCGGGAATGGAGTTCTGGGAGGTCGAAGAGCACGAAGTGTGTGACTGTTGGCTTAAAACGACTTCTGCGGCACCCTGTCCGGCACCCGCCCAGACCCCCCTGTGGAGTCATCTGCTGCTCTCTTTTGACCCTACTAGAAACCTATCAGAACAAGCTGTTAGGTAATCAGGACGAGAGGTGTTTCGCCATTTTCGGCCCCAGGGGGCCCTCGCCGGGCCCCGGGACGGTCAGAACGGACTCAGGATGGGAGACCGGTCCCGGGGAAAGGGTCGAGACTTCCAGTGACGCCGTCCTGAAAAAATCAAGAGGTCGCCTGTCTGGGGACGGAGGCCGAGTACAGTAGGAGCTCGAGTCCGAGAACAGACCCGATCGTGGGGCGCCCAGGCCACGATCGGAGAGGGATGGGGCGACTGGGGGCGGATGCCTTCCCCCCCATGGCGCTGCCCCCGACGTCCTTCCCCCCCCCATCCTCCCCTCCCTTCGCTGTGGGAGTACAGTAGGAGCTCGACCACAAGAAACCTTCCACAGGAAGCCCAACCCTCAGACCCCAGAACGTCCATGGATTTGTGGTGTGGGAAAGTCACGCTTCCCATAGCAAAACCATCGAAACCCAAGAAACCCAGGGCACCCTGGAGGCAAGCAGGGTGTTTCTTGGCATGGACTTCCACTGCAGATGGGGTCGAAGGATCGCAGCGCATCGGCGATACATCGCCGATTCATTAGTGATGCATCGTTGAAGTCGGCGATGCATCGGCGACGTCGGTTTGAAGAGAATCGGGCTCCACATCGAGCCGCATCGCCGATGCATTGGCGATGCGGCGAGATCCTCCGACACCATCTACTCCGTTGCTCTGAGAGGCCTAGAGATCCGGATTCCCAGACCCGCTCGAGTCATGAAGAATTCAAGACGGAAGGTTTTTCTCGATACTTTTGGCCTCCAGGGGCCCTCGCCGGGCCTCGGGACCGCAAAAAGACGGCTCAGGATGAGAAACTGGTCCCGGGGAAGCGGTCGAAGCCTTTGGGGGTCGACGCCATGACAAAAAAGAACACGACGCGTCGGGGGTCTGGGTTCGAAGGTCGAGGAACAGGGCTCGAGCTGAAAAAGTGCTCGCCCGTCTCGCCTGGTTTTCGCTCTCCCTCGCTCTGTCGTCGCTCCACCTCTGCTTCAGAACCAACAGAAAATCGAAACGAACACCGTCCACGAAATCGCCAAGGCACCGTTTAGCTCGAGCCCTGTCGAGGAGGGAGGAGGATCGATGGAGTGAGGAGGGAGGGGGGGGGGCTCGAGGAGGGCGGAGGGAGGAAGGGGTCGAGGAAGCAGGAGAGGGAACGCGCTCGGCCCTGGAGGTGCGAGCCACTGTGGGCCACAGGAGGGCCAGGTCAACTCTCGCGGGCCCGAAGTCCTCGGGTGAAGAAGACGTGGCCCCACCCCGTCCGGATTAGAGGTGAGAGAGAGGAGGAGGCGTTCCCCTCCCTCCTCCCTCCTCCCTCCTCCTCCCTCCCCTCCTCCTCCTCCTCCTCCTCCTCCTCCTCCTCCTCCTCCTCCTCCTCCTCCTCCTCCCTTTCCTCCTCCTCCTCCTCCTCCTCCTCCTCCTCGCCGGTGCGCGCGCTCGCACGCGCGCGGGGTGGGGGGATCGAAGGGGTGATGTAAAACGTGTTTGACATGGTGAGCGGGCCATGGGCCCGCTCGACCCTCCTGGCCCGCTCCGCCCGCAACCCCCGCCCGTTGACCTGCTGCAGTGATGCTGGGGCGCAGGGGTCCCAGGGACATGTGCTAGCCTGCCGCAGGGATCATTGACTCGGGCTCTACGCAAGGCTCTAAAAAAGATGATGGGTTTATCCCCCTTGCCTACCTCAGGGTTCTCGCAGGGGTGCCAACGAAGATTCGATTCCCCCCTGCCCTGCAAGGGGGCCGAGAGAAATGATATCCCCCCTGCCTGCCAGCGGGTTCTCGCAGGGGTGCGAACGACACTGTGCTGTTCCGCCCCCTGGCTTGCAGCAGAAACTCCAGCACCGGATCCAAGCGGCATGTGCTGCTTTGCTCCATGCCACGACGGGGGCTCTCACACGTATTTGTTCTACGCGAGATTCGTTTGCATCCTTTCCGCTTGCCGCTTGCCACGAGGATTCTCACGCGGGCTATGAAGGAGATTTCTCAATCAATGCTTGCACTGAAAGGGTCCTCGCGGATGTTGAACAATTTGGAAACAAAACCCGGCCGATTTCGGGGTTCCCGGGTTCCCAATTCCAGGTTCCCGGGTTCCCGATTGCTGGTTCCGGGCCTATTCCTGGATTTGCGGGTTCCCGGGGTCCTAGTCGATCTCCTTATCGATCGGTCTCAACATCGATCTCACTACCCACCTCTCTATCGATCTCACAATCGATATCACAATTGATCTCACTATAGATCGCACGTGCGATCTCACGGGCGATCTCACTATCGATCTCACTGAATCGACTGGTCTCACGATCGACCTTCCTATCGTCATTCCTTTAGATCCCACTATCGATCTCACTATCGATCTCACAATCGATCTTAATATCCAGATCACGAACTTGGATTTGGATTTTCTCTAGTGTAATATGTTGATGTCCCTCCTGCCTGTCACAGGGATTATCACAAGAGTTCCAACGGTGATTTGGTCATATCCCCCTGCATGTCACAAGTGTTCACACGGGGGTTCTGATGGAGGTATTGTCTATATCCCCCTGCACACATCAGGAGTTCCAAGCAAGGTCCCAAGGAAATAAGGGATTGTCCCGAGTTGCCTGCTCGGGCAGAGATTTCAATGGAAATTCAAGTCATGAGCCTCTGCCTGCCAGCGGGTATCTAGTGTGGGTTCTAGGCGAGAATTGTATCCTCCCACCCTGCTTGCTGCGGGGTTGGTGGTCACACGGGTTCTGGAGGAGGTTTGGTTATCGCACCCCTGCCTGCCACAAGGGTCGGCCCAAAGGTTCCGAGGAACGTGTGTGCATGTTTCACCCTGCCTGCCACGAGGATTATTGCATGGATTATCATTGAGATGTCTGTGCGTTCCCCCTGCTTGCCACAGAGATGCTCAAAAGGGTTCTGAGAGAGATGTACGTCGCGCCTGCCTCCTATAAGGCAACTGGCCTCCAGCAATAACGATGCGGAATGGAAACTGGTCTCCAGCACAACAGACACATCACTTTGACATGCATGCGAGCACGAATCAATCCCAGCGGGTTCATACGCGTCGTTGAGCCGCAGTCGTCCTCAGACACTGCACTCGATCTGCGAGTGCGGAAAACCACAAGGCTGCGTCACGACTCATCGCTGCCACGGAGCTCCAAGCAAATGCCTCTGCAGCATGTTGCACTTGCTGTAGAACTCCACAATGTTTGAGGGCCGAAAATGAGGCATAGCCACATCGTGCTCCTCCGAAGGAGCAAAAATACGACCTGGTCGCCGCGACGTGCAGACGGTCCAAGGCGCCCTCCAAAAAGCCCCGCACCACCGAAATCCTCCCAAGGGGAAACCGAACACGGGGAGATTTGCAGACCGTGTATTTGTTCACCTTGGCTCCTTCCAGCGTCGCATAAGGCGAAGAGCGTCATGCCCCGTCTCGGACCAAACCTGGAAGCATCATGTTGCTAGAGCAGAATGGCACCAATCAATGCATGAGGACACAGGAGGGTGGACACAATGGAGACGAGGCTGCTGGACTTGGTGGAGGTGAACGAATTGGGACGGCGACTTGAGGCAAAGAGAATCACCAGTTCAAGCGGAGACAAACGACGCATGTCTCGTGGGCCTCAAGGGAGACCCGCCAGTGGCAGAGGGAGCCTCTTCAAACTGCAAATGAGGGCCCTACCGACGTCACCGTTGCAAAGCATGAGAAGGTAGGGCAGGGTAGCTTGGCAAAGATAATGAATGGTCTGCAATACCACCAGCCCTCTGGGCGTAGGTGGTCTAGAGAGTTTCCTCTGCCAACCCCCTTCTCCCCCTCCGGGAAGGGGTTGACGCCTCCACCCGACCCACTCCCCTGGACCTGGACGCGGCGCCCCGCGAGGTGTCAGAGGGTACTTGTTCGCCCAAGATGGCTCCAAGGGGGCCTCAGAGAGCCCAAGATGACCTCCAAGATGGCTCAAGATAGCCCAAGATGCCTCAAGTCGTCTCGCAAGATGCTCCAAGAGGCCCCAAGAACGCTCTAAGACGGCTCCAAGAGGCCTCCGAGACCTCCAAGGAGGCCTCGAAGAAGCCAACATCCTTCCAAAACCTAAGGGAAATCAATGTGGTTTGCTTTCTCGCCTTTTCGATGGCCATCCGAGGCCTGAATATGGTTCCAGGATGGCCCAAGAGGGCCCCAAGAGAAACCCCAGAGAGCCCCAAGACGACCCCAAGAGCGCCCCAAGAGGGGCCCAAGAGAGGTCCAAGAGGCGAGTTTAGGTGATCCCGATAGGGGGAGACTAATTGCGACCATCCCCTTCTTTGGTCGATGTCCTCCAAGATGGCCCCAACAGTGCCTCGAAAGGCCCCCAAGAGCGCCCCAAGAGAGCCCCAAGAGGCGCCAAGGAGGCCCCAAGAGGCGTCCAGGAGGTCTCCAAGAGGCTCCCAAGAGACCCCCTAGAGGCACCAACAGGCTCCCCGAGTTACGCAAGAGGCCCTCGGGACCCAAGACTCCCCAAGAAGCCCCCAAGCTCGCCATTGTCCTCCTCTTCCTCCTCCTCCTCTTCATCCGCCTATTTCTCCCTCTCCCTCCTCCCTCCTCCTCATCCTCCTCCTCCTCCTCCTCCTCCTCCTCCTCCTCCTCGTCCATCCTCTTCCTCTTCCTCCACCTCCTCCTCCTTCTCCTCCTACTCCTTCTCATCATCTCCCACATCCCCCTCGTCCTTTTTCCCCGCCTTGCCTCATTCGGCACGTTCGCAAAGGCGCACACGCTTCGCCCCTGGGTCTACGAAGGCTGATCCAAGACTTCAGTTCGACGGCTTCCCCAGCTGTTCATCCACTGCATGCTGCATACTCCTCCGCTTCCCTGATCAAGGCAACTCACCTGGGCAGCATTTGTGAATGGGCTGGTGGGGATACCTTTTGGCACGCGGGCTCGCGAAGCAAGTCGAAAGCCAGGCAGGACGGGCGGGCTACGCGCCGACGGAAGGGAACAACCGCGATCAGGAGCGGCTGGTGGGGATACGCGGAGAGCCAAGAATTTTGAAACCCACCCTGACATGTGGGATGGATTGCTCACAACAATACTTGTACAGCGGAATCATGCCGTAACAGAGCCAGCTCTCACTTCAGCCTTGAATGACTTCATTGTTCAACGGTCCCTAGAAGCTCGCGACACCGTTTCTCGTACAAATTTGGCGCCCTACTGACACCTGATGTTCTGTGGGCCCCAAGGCCGGAGACAGGACCCCCGATGTTCAGGCTTGACCGCCCGCGCCAGCGTCGCCGCCGCGTCGAGACGGCATCGTCTTGCCCAGAGTAGCGCTCAGAGGCAGCATGTCACCACACTCGTCCGCGCACCTCCAGAAGGGCCGCTGGAGCCGGTCCGTGCAGAGCGAGGAAAGGATCGGCGGGACGCAAGACTCGGATTCGGGGGACTCGGGTTGGCCTGACGGGGCCGTCAGAAAAATGGAGAGACCCAATCTGAAATTTGTCACGAAGTCCCGCTGTAAACATCCCACGAACCCTGAACCGTCAAAACTCAATGGGGGCTGTCAACAAGCGTGGGCGAACCCGAGCTCCAGCGAGCTCGAGTCTTAGGTTTCCCCGAACAGAGAAGAGAAAGAGAGAGAGAGAGAGAAAGGTGGAACAGCAGGTCGACAGAAGATCCAGAAACCCGCGGACGGTCTCTTCGCCAGCGCCGGACCCCCTCCCCCGAAGCGCGCCAGGGAACGCGCCGAGGACGCCGAACAGGAGCGCAGGGAGTCCGGTGCCAGCGGAGAAACGATCTCACAGGACGTCCGAAAGTCGAGTTAAGATTACGCAGGACGTGCTCATGTATACCCCCACGATGCCTGGCTGGGCCATCCTAGGCCCTGGCACCGCGTTTTTATCCGTCCTCCTGGCCGAGACCAGGAGAAGTCTACACTCCAAACCATGGCCCATGGCCCACAGTGGCCCCAGCCAGGCAGGGTGGTGGTGCAAGGGCGCTCGTCTGCTGACCCGAAGATCGGCGGCGAGCGAAGGGGGGGAAGTGAGAAGTAGAAGGTTTTCTCAGAAGGCGGCGGGACTTCTCAGAAGCCCTCGCGCCTTCTGAGAAGTTTCTGTGTCTTCGGGAAAGGCATAGAACACTTTTCAGAAGGCTGAGGGACTTCCGAGCCTTCTGAGAAGACCCTCTCCTTCTCACTTCGCCCCCTCGCTCGCCGCCGACGCAAGAAAGGGGGGGGGCTTCCTCTGAAGGCCAGCTCCGAAAGGTCGTCTCCAGCTCCTCGAGCACGGAGAGCAGCCACAGCGCGGGCGGAGTCATCGGGGCCAGGGACACCGCCGCCACGAGGTCCCGCTCCGCGGAAGCTGAAGAGCGGCTCCTCCTCCTCCTCCTCCTCCTCCCCCTCCTCCTCCTCCTCCTCCTCCAACTCCTCGTGATCCTCATCATCCTCCTCCTCCGCCTCCTCCGCCTCCACCTCCGCCTCCGCCGCCTCCTCCTCCCAATTTGACGTTGCACAGACATGGATCGGAGATCGTTGCGCTCTGGGTGTGCAGGGGGAAAAAACGCCGACCAAGGCAAAGAGCCAACGAATCAAGCCTGGCGGGCGCAACTGAAACAAAGAGAAGGCAAAGAGCAGCGAAAAGGGTACGGCAGGGCTGAGCCTAACGGTGTTTCTCGTTTTCGTTTTGCTTTCGTTTTCCCTCGTGTTGTCTTCAATCCGCCTTTACCGCAAAACGAAGTCGAAACAAAAACGGCCCACGATATCGCCAAAACACCGTTTAGGTCCAGCCTTGGGGGACAGGGGCCGTGAGGCCATAGAGTATGCGCCCGCAAAGCCGCATAGTGGAGTAGGGAAGGACAACAAACGATTACCCCAAAAACGCAGACAAGGAGGATACTGAGCGAGGAGAGGACAAAATACACGTGCACTGCGATAACATGATCCGCCGGCCCTGTCGGCGCGTGTGACGAGGTTTTTCCGTTCGAGTCGGGCTTTTCCGTTGGAGTCGTCATCTCCGTCCTCCTCTGTTCCACTTGCCTGGGCTCTCTTCCTCATACGCGCCGTCCAAAACAAAATTAAACAACATAGGAATGGAATCAAAGGGAAACCCGTTCCCTTTGATCTCTTCTCCGCGCGGGGGGGGTCCCTGTGGAGGTCCCGGGGAGGCCAGAGGGGGTCCTGGGGGGCCAGAGGGGGTCTAGGGGGGGTCCTGGGACTGTCCCGGGGGGTCCCCGGGGGGTCGCCACCCAGATACGCTTTCCCAGGGGGGGTCCTGGGGGGGTCCCGGGGGGGGTCGCCGTCGTCGTCGACGTCCCCCTCCAGGGTCGGCGGCGCCGGCCGTAAGGCCTTCGCAATCACGAGACAGGCGACGCAAAGAGAGTGAGTGAGAGTGCGCGTCCTAAACTGGATGAAATGCGAGGCCCAAACTAGGTGAAATACGCAGCCTGAACTTGTGAAGTCATCCTTCTCCTCCTCGTCCTCGTTTTCGTCCTCGTTTTCGTAGTCCTCCTCCTTTTCCTCCTCTCCCTCCTCCTCCTCCTCCTCCTCCTCAATTTCCTCCGCCTCCTCCTCTTCCTCCTCCCCCCTCCTCCACCTCCTCTACCTAGGTGGCTCCCTGTTTGGCCCCCCCTCCGCCCCCCCCCGCAGCCGTTTTGCCCGCCGCGGGGGCGCGGGAACCCGCCATAAGGGAGCCCCCGAACCCCCTGGGGCGCCTGCGGCCCCAGCGGGCCGTCGCCTGCCATACGCCTGCTACCTCTCGTTTCCTGCCGCTGGGTGAAAATCATTGCCGCCTCGGGCGGCTTTTCGCCGAGGTCGAAGTCCCGCCCGCCCGCCTGGCATCGGCGACAGCGCCGATTTCGTGCCACTGCGCGGGGCCGCCTCAGACTAAGCGTGGGCGTCGACAGACTGGCACGTTATCGCGGGTCTCGCTCGCCCATGGCCAAGGCGGGAGCCAAAGGTCAGGGTGGCAGCGACGACGCCAAAGCAAATTGGGCGTGCGCTGCTGCTCGTCAGGTGTGGCTTTGCACGCACTTCCAGCCCGAATCAGCGGTGTTATATGTAAGGCAGGGATCGGCAAGGACGCCCAGGTCCCACTGGAGCGGCGCCGCCATGACAGCAGTCCGCGAGGCGACGCTCGACTTCAGGCTCGCGCGTATCGGCTGCCTATGATCACCCCTCCTCCTCCGGGGAGCCTGACGACGTGGCCAAGGCCCGCAAAGCGCTTGCCGCCCTGCGCCGTCTCCAGCTGCCCGAGGAGCCCGAGGTGTTGGCCAGCGCGAAGCGGGCACTCGCAACGGCGGAGGAGGAGCGCGAGCAGGCCGTGCGCACTCCTGACGACATGCTTCGCAGGGCACTGGACAGGCAGGCCACCAAGCAGAAGGAGGCGGACCTGCTCAACGCTGCGGTCAAAGAGCTCGAGGACAGCCTCCAAGCCAAGCGCGCCGTGACTGACGCCGAGCGCGCGGACATGCAGACCGCCCAGTTCGAGGTGGCCACACCTAGGGACGCCGCGATGGCAGCTGGCGCCTTGGGCCAGGCCAGCGGTTTGGATGAGGCCATGGAGCGCTTGCAAGGCGCTGCGGCTGCAGCTCATGCGGCAATTACGGCCGGGAATGCGGGGGGCACGCTGCGCCCCCTCACCGCGCGCCCCGTGGAGCTCCAGAAGGCCTTCGAGAAGCACCGCCAAGCCCACGCAGTGCCGACCAGGCCGCCTGCGCAGCCGCCTGTTACGGGCTTGGCTGCTGGTGCTAGCGACTACACTCACCCGTGGGACGTGCATATTGGACAGGATCTGGATCGCGTCACGCCTGCCGCGCCTTGGCGATCTTCGGGAACATGTGCCGCCGCGCCCACGCCCAAGGGAGACGGGCAGACGCTGTCACGGCACCGTGACCTTTCGGCAGTTTGACTGCAGCAGTCCTGGGATTCCTCCGCAGCTGACAGTCAAGGTGTCTCCGCGCGAGATCAAGCTGCACCCGGCGCGGTTTTGCACCCCGGCCTGAATAATGGCGACTCAAAGGGCGAACGATTCGTAATTGGGGGTGATGCTACGATCACTTCCTCCTCGCACAGCGCGTCTACTGTCTCTCGCCCTGGAGGCGGCGACAACCACTTACGTCAAGGCTGGGGCCCCTCAGCACTGGCTGGGGCCCGCGCGCTCGAGACCGCCGACGGGCGAGCCCGCTCCTCGGGGCGAGCGAGGTGGCCAGCCCCCCTCGAGCGCGGTGACCAGGGCAGGGGCGCCCGATGGGAAGGTGGTCGATGCCCCCTTGCCCGGTGGCGATGCTGCTTCGGGGCGTGGATGTTCGCTCGCGCAGGACTCGGCGCGAGCTCCATCGCATGCTGTTACTGGGTCGCCCCCGCACTCGGGGCCGCCGACGGGCGGGTCCGCCTTTCGGGGCGCGCGAGGTGCCCATTCCCCCCGCGCGGTGACCTGGCCAGGCGCCCCCAACAGGGAGGCGGTCGATGCCCCCTGGCCAGGTGACGATGCAGTGACAGGGTGTGACAGGACAGTGGATCATGTACGTAGACCTCGACATAGCCGTACTCATGCTCGCACCTGCTCTGGAAATGGCAAGCGCCACCTCGCCTTGGGCTATCCGCATGTCGGCGTTGGGTCGCCCCCGCGCTCGATCGCCGACGGGCGAGCCCGCTCCTCAGAGCGCGCGAGGTGATCACTCCCCCTCGAGCGCGGCGACCTGGGCTGGGACCCCGTCGGGGAGGTGGTCGACGCCCCCTGGCCTGGTGGCGACGCAGCGCCAGGGCGCGGCAATCCCTCCACGCGACCATGGGGGAGAGCCCCCGAGGGCGGCAGGAAGCGCGACCTTCTCACCACCACCTTCAATGGCAACGGCTGGCCACAGATGAAAGGCTTTCTCGACCATGGCGCACGCCCCCGCATCCTGCGCGCCCAGGCGCTCAAACTCCAAGGCGACGAACTTGATCGCGCCAAGGGATGGGCCTCTAGCCACGGATGGACGCCTTCTCGCCAAAGGCATCGCGAATGAGACCGGCGCGTGCTGCGCTGGCGTCGGCCTCTTCGTTCGCTGTCACAGTGGCGCGACGCTCCTCGCATCGTCCACTGACCCCCACATCCTAGAGCCAGGCCACGCGGTTGCTGTCCTGGTTCAAGGAGGTCCCCGCCAGGGCTTCACTGCCGCCTCTACCTGGAGCAAGGTCTGAAGCTCGGCGCCGCCAGTGCCAAGCAATTGCAAACGACTGGGGTGTGCCTGTCTCACTACAAGACCCGATTTGTTGACGTAGGGCACTGGAATGTTTCGCCAGACGCCGCACGCCCCCCGATGGCCCGGACGCCGCGGCGCCCGGATGGCCGCAATGCCTGACGGCGCCCACCGCGACCCCAAATCGGCGAAGCACTCCAATTTGGACTATTGGGCTGCGAACGACGCGCTGGCATTCCGCTATGAAAATGCCAGAGAATCCGCTATGAAAATGCCCGCCCAAGAACCGCCGCGCCGCCTTGACTTCCCTGGGGCGCAGGGCCAGGGCTCAGTAAGTCATGGTAGCGAAGGGCCCCCACCCGCCCTTTCAGGCCCACTGCTTCTCAACGGGACGACGTCCAATAGGGCGATGATGAGCGTCAGCTTGAATGCGCTCGAGGAGACCCAGGACTGACCTGGGTGGGCATCGCGCGGGCGGACTCTCGGCGCAAGCTAGGTGTCCCAACTGCGCGCCCGGCGCGCCCGGGCGCCCTCTGTGCGCAAATATGTCGAGGCACAGTCGCCGAGCTACTCCTTGTTCGGCTTTGAGCCCGGTCTCTCTCAGGCATTCACGGGGCGACAAGCTGGCCCTTGATATCGCAAAACTACGGCAAGAGAGGACCTGGTGCGATGCCAGCCTGCTGCCACTAAGTACCATCGCTCGCTTCGCTCGTTGCAGATGAGGGCGCGCAATGTTCGCATTGCCGCAGCGACGTGTCTCAGTGCATCGCGCATGCCTGGAAGTACTGGCATTCAATCGTTGCGAAGGAGGACAAGGAGGGTAGGCTGATGTCACGCATGCCACAGAGCGCGCGCATTCTCCCCACCTATTTCTTGGAACATATTTACAGCCACCCGACTCCAAGTTACCCGAATACGTTGCGCTTCCATGGGGATTGTATCGGCAGGTTGGCCGGGAGAGAAGAGCGTCGCTCGGCACCCGCTCGCGCGCGCTCGTTCTCGACGCGGATTCGAGAACACCTACGCGCGCAGCCAGATCCTGTTCGCAGGTGGTATAAGCCGGGAGGTTGGACTACGCCCCTGGCGCACACCTCCCTTGCGCCCTCCCATTTCCCCTCGGACACCCGCGAGGCCCAGAGAGACTCCGGGGCTGAAGTTCGGGAAGGAGTTTGGAATGAACCCG